ACAGGAAAAGTGATATCAAGACATTACAAAAATAAGACATGATGTCATGATATCAAGACTTACAAAGGTAAGACAGGAAAAGTGATATCAAGACATTACAAAAGTAAGACATAATGTCATGATATCAAGACTTAAAAGGTACAATTATATAATGTTGTGATAGTTAAGTATTTTGATTTACATATATATTATTACAGCAGTAACTTGATCCGAAGGGTCGTATCACGTCGAGTTGACAGGTGCGGATCATCAGATCTAACGAGACCCGAAGCGTCGAGTTTGATCTGATGATCCGCGCCTGTCAATTTGACGTGATATGGCTCTTCGGATCAAGTTACTGTTATAATGATAAATTTATTATATACCCCCTCATAACTAGCAAAATATAGTTAAAGAAAACTTTAAAAATCAATTGTATAACATTTATCCACAAAACAAAGAATAATAACACAGGACTTTTTAACGCGCAAGAAAAATAACATCATGTTTCTGCGTACTACGCCATCAGTTTTAGAGAGTGGTGATATGGATTAACAAGAGGCCCATGGGCCACATCGCTCATCTGAGCACTAAGGGTAGGAAAAAGTAGAAAATGGCTTTTTATTATAAAGTTTAAATCCAAAAGTAGTCCCATGACCAATCATGGATTTGCTAATTTTTAGAAAAGAATTTTCCTATACATATCTTTAAAAAACTTTAGTCGGCCATTTTGGCCTCGCAGTACCCCTGAGGGTCATGATTTTAACAAATTTGATTCTACGATACTTGAGCATGCTTCCATATAAATATGATGATTTATGGCTTTGTCATTCTTGAGAAGAAAATTTTTAAAGAATTTTCCTATATATTTCTATGTAAAGCTTTGTTCGGCCATTTTGGCCCCGCCCTACCCCGAGGGGTCATGATATGAACAAATTTGAATCTACACTACCTGAGCATGCTCCCATATAAATATGATGAATTATGGCTTTGTCATTCTTGAGAAGAAGATGTTTAAAGAATTTTCCTATATATTTCTATGTAAAACTTTGGTCGGCCATTTTGGCCCCGCCCTACCCCCGGGGGGTCATGATTTGAACAAACTTTAATCTACACTACCTGAACATGCTTCCATATAAAAATGATCAATTATGGCTTTGTCATTCTTGAGAAGAAGATTTTTAAAGAATTTACCTATATATTTCTATGTAAAACTTTGGTCGGCCATTTTGGCCCTGCCCTACCCCAGGGGGTCATGATTTGAACAAACTTGAATCTACAATATCTGAGCATGCTTCCATATAAATATGATCAATTATGGCTTTGTCATTCTTGAGAAGAAGATGTTTAAAGAATTTTCCTATATATTTCTATGTAAAAGTTTGGTCGGCCATTTTGGCCCCGCCCTACCCCCGGGGGTCATGATTTGAACAAACTTTAATCTACAATATCTGAGCATGCTCCCATATAAATATGATCAATTATGGCTTTGTCATTCTTGAGAAGAAGATTTTTAAAGAATTTTCCTATATATTTCTATGTAAAAGTTTGGTCGGCCTTTTTGGCCCCGCCCTACCCCCGGGGGGTCATGATTTGAACAAATTTGAATCTACACTACCTGAGCATGCTTCCATATAAATATGATCAATTATGGCTTTGTCATTCTTGAGAAGAAGATGTTTAAAGAATTTTCCTATATATTTCTATGTAAAACTTTGGTCGGCCATTTTGGCCCCGCCCTACCCCCGGGGGTCATGATTTGAACAAACTTGAATTTACACTACCTGAGCATGTTTCCCCATAAGTTTCATCTTTCCTGGCACAGTGGTTCTTGAGAAGAAGATTTTTAAAATATGCCACCAAATTTTCATTAATTCCCAATTATCTCCCCTTGAATGAGGGCGTGGCCATTCATTTGAACAAACTTGAATCCCCTTCACCCAAGGATACTTTGTGGCAAGTTTGGTTGAAATTGGTCCAGCGGTTCTTGAGAAGAAGTTGAAAATGTGAAAAGTTTACAGACAGACGGACAGACGGACGCCGGACAAAATGTGATCAGAAAAGCTCACTTGAACCTTCGGCTCAGGTGAACTAAAAAAACACAGTGTGGTGATCTGGAAATTATTTACTTTACGAAAAATCAAAAAGTTTCTTCCAATGCGTACTAGAAAACTATTTTATAATGCTTTTATCCTGCCATCGATTTTATATTGTCTATCCATTTGGGGCAATTGTCCTCAAACACACATGGACAGAATCTATAGATTACAAAAAAAAGCAGCTAGGATTATTTTAAATGAAAAATATGATACACCTTCAATGCCTTTATTTAACACTTTAGGTTGGCTAACAGTTTATGAACTTTTATATTTACAGAAAAGCATTTTAATGTACAAAATATTTCATGGACTGTCGCCTGATTATATGCATAATCTTTTTGAATTTCAAAGTTCTGGATCATACACTTTACGCTCAGAAACAAATTCCGAACTTCGACTACCAAAATATAAAACAAACTTATTTAAAAATTCTTTACAATATTCAGGGGTTATTATCTGGAATGAGTTACCAATTAATATCAGAAATTCTCAATCCCCTGCAATATTTAAAAGAAGTGTTGAAAATTTTCTACTTATAAAACGCAATGATTCTGTGTGATTTTTTTTTCTTTCTCTCTATACTGAAATGCTGATGTTTTTATTTGTTTGTAACATACTGATTGATTTTTTATTGTCTCATAATTGTAATTTTATTTATTGTATATATGAATTGTATATGTGTTTTTAAAGAAGGCCCCGAGGAAGACTAGTGTTCGCACTAATCGGGTTACCTTCTCTAAATAAAGTATTATTATTATTATTATTATTATTATTATCACCATGTCACGTGATGACATAAAATCAACGGTAAAATTGAATGATACACGTTAGGTATATAATAAATTAATTTATCGTAATAATCCACTTCTCTTATGGATTATGGTTTCATTTCTTAAATTATTACTTAGGCTGTTTAAAGTTAATTCTACGTTTAACGTCACATCTAAAGTTCAAAACCTACGAGGGAGGGAGGAAAAAAATAAACAAACAAAATTTTCAAACAATTGTGAATTTATTCAAATTAACCTATTCAGTACATTAAAAACATTACAATTAAGTAATATGAGCATTTAATTGATATGACACCTAAAATTAATTTTCCTAGCAGAGTTTTTCCTTAGTATGTAAATCAGTTTGAGTCCTATTGTTAGCAAAAAATTAGTCTTAGACTGAATGTGCAGGAAAATGGCTTTTAACTAGGCCTCAGTTGTCCTTTGGATTTATATAGCCACACGTCCATGGTACCCTGGAGGCAAATGCTTCTTCTTGTGGGAATAGTTGCTCAATATCTACAATTAAAATTATTGATGACAATATTTAAAACTTTCATGTGGAAATATCCTCAAATTGAATTATGTCGTATTTTTTTCTTAGTACTAGATCTACTAGCATTAAGTTTTGAAAGTGTGAATACTAATATTTAGACCATACTGATGGCTGTTAGATTATCTTTAATACCTTGAATTCCACACATGATTCTTCACGTCTTGGATTACCCCAACCACTTTCCTTACTCTCCTTCACTTGAAAGCCCTATCTTCGGTAAGCTTCTCCCTGCTCAAATGGTTACGACAAGTATTATCTTTTCCAAAAATTTTAGCTATTTGTACTGGTACATAAATTAATATGAAGAAATCAATTATCTTACTCATTACTGTTCCTTTCGATTTTTACAGAAATATTTCTTTAATATTAAATAAGATTTAAATGATGCTTTTCATTGTATATAAATATTTGTTTTTGACAAACTTTCCACTCAGTAAAAAAGATTTTCGATTCTCTCCAAAATACAATGAAAAGTTCAGCCAATAGTATAATCACGAACTGAGAGTCTGTCAGTCTGTACATGTGATTCGAAGACTGACAAAAAAATCAACAAACTAGACTTTGTCATTAACTTCAATCATAAAATCATCTATTTTTTACTTACATTTATGGTCCCAAGCTCTTTAATCCACTAGTTTTCTTTAATAAGACACCAACTGTCTTTACTGCGGCTATCAAAGCACATTTTCTGTCACTATGGGAAGCAGAATTTAGTCGCTAATTGTAGAACCAAACCGGAACGGACATACGGAATTCGGAATTGTTTGTTTTTTTCAAAGACGAATTTCTCATAAACCTACGCGCGCGGGTGACGTTAAACATAGTTTTAATTTTAGACAGCCTTACTATTAGACTTGGTACATCTAGATTTATTTTGTTGTTATTTTATTTCTACTAGGAATATTGTCATTCAAAAACAAAATATATGAATTATTTCAATTTACTACATAAATCATTTAACTTAAATCAGTTGCCTGAACTGTACTGCGTTTTCATTGTCAAGGTAAAGTGCATGCTCTAGTTAACTGAAGTTAGGAGAATATGTTCAAATGCTGTTTTCAAGAAAACAATTTTTGATTTGAATTATTTTGTTGGGAAAGTTTTCAAAACATTAAGACATGTTATTCTATACATGTATACTGAAAATAACTTTTTATTTGTGAGAACTTTATTTTCACATAATTACGCGAGACAGTGTGCTCGTGAAATGTTCGTCTTCACATATTTGTGTATTTTTTTACTTTATTTATAGCAAAAACCATAATTCCTGAAAATTTTGTTTCGCTAATAAAGATTAAAATAAATTTATCGCAAAAGTAATCAAGTTGTCATGGAAATGAAGCGATGTTCAGTAATCAAAACCTAAAATATGAAAAAGTTGTTGGAAGTAAAGGTACAACTTTCCACTGTTGTAAGTACAATCCAGAAGAACTACACCTACACACCTGTCTGTTTTATCCTTTTATGATTCTCTATTTGTTCTTTCAGACTACCTAAAGTTCTGGATAACCTCAATCAAGACATTTGGAGGAACTAAGGCACCAATGTTTCTCGTTGTCACACACACAGAAAGAAAATCTACTGATGTAAGTATTGCCTTTATTAAGCTAACAGATCTACGTATTTCAATCTGAGCGTAATCTGGAAAAAGAAAAATAAACTATACAACATTTGTTTGTTAATGTTTGACGTCCCTCTCTAAAAATTTTCATTCACTATATTTGGCTCTATTTTTGTCTCGCTGCCAAAGACTTTTTCTGATCCTTTTTAGCTCACCTGAGCCAAAGGCTCAAGTGAGCTTTTCTGATCAAAATTTGTCCGTTGTCTGTCGTTGTCGTTGTCGTAGTCGTCGTTGTCGTCGTTGTTGTCGTCTTTGTTGTAAACTTTTCACATTTTCATCTTCTTCTCAAGAACCACTGGGCCAATTTCAACCACACTTGCTACAAAGTATCCTTGGGTAAAGGGGATTCAAGTTTGTTCAAATGAAGGGCCACGCCCTTTTCCAAGGGGAGATAATTATGAATTAGAGAAAAATTAATGGCATTTTTAAAAAATCTTCTTCTCAAGAACCACTGGGCCAGGAAAGATGAAACTCATGTGGAAGCATCCTCACGTAGTGTGTTTCAAGTTTGTTCAAGTCATGACCCCCGGGGGTAGGGTGGGGCCAAAATGGCCGATCAAAGCTTTACATAGGGATATATAGGGAAAATCTTTAAAAATCTTCTTCTCAAGAACCGATTGGCCAGGAAAGATGAAACTCATGTGGAATCATCCTCAGGTAGTGTAAATTCAAGTTTGTTCAAATCATGACCCCGGGGGGTAGGGTGGGGCCAAAATGGCCGATCAAAGTTTTACATAGGGATATATAGGGAAAATCTTTAAAAATCTTCTTCTCAAGAACCGATTGGCCAGGAAAGATGAAACTCGTGTGGAATCATCCTCAGGTAGTGTAAATTCAAGTTTGTTCAAATCATGACCCCCGGGGGTAGGGTGGGGCCAAAATGGCTGATCAAAGTTTTACATAGGAATATAAATTATAGGAAAAATCTTTAAAAATCTTCTTCTCAAGAACCACTGGGCCAGGAAAGATGAAACTCATGTGGAATCATCTTCAGGTAGTGTAAATTCAAGTTTGTTCAAATCATGACCCCCGGGGGTAGGGTGGGGCCAAAATGGCCGATCAAAGTTTTACATAGGAATATATAGGAAATTCTTTTAAAAATCTTCTTCTCAAGAACCACTGGGCCAGGAAAGATGAAGCTCATGTGGAATCATCTTCAGGTAGTGTAAATTCAAGTTTGTTCAAATCATGACCCCCGGGGTAGGGTGGGGCCAAAATGGCTGATCAAAGTTTTACATAGGAATATATAGGAAAAATCTTTAAAAATCTTCTTCTCAAGAACCACTGGGCCAGGCAAGATGAAGCTCATGTGGACTCATCTTCAGGTAGTGTAAATTCAAGTTTGTTCAAATCATGACCCCCAGGGGTAGGGTGGGGCCAAATGGCAGATAAAAGTTTTAAATAGAAATATATAGGGAAATCGTTTAAAATCTTCTTTTCAAGTACTTCAAAGCCATGCTTAGTGATATTCATAGGGAATCATCCTCAGGTATTGTAGATTCTAGTTTTTTCAAATCATGACCCCTGGGGGTTAAAATTCAAGCCCCCTCCCTGCCCTCAGTAAATTTTCAGTTCTGATCTGATGTGTGCTTTTTTCTAGCCAATTGCTCAGGTGAGCGATGTGGCCCCTGGGCCTCTTGTTTGTTGCTATCATCATTAATTTTTCCACCTTTTTAGCTCAAGAAATCTGCTGGTCCAATTTAATCACACATGATAAGGTTTCCTGATCATATTTTGTCACTCGTCCGTCTAGCTGTCTAGTTGTCCGTTTTTTGTCTAGTTGTCCATTTTTCTGTAAACTTTTCACATTTCAGACTTCCTCTCTAGAACCACTGTGCAGTTATGATAAGGCTGTATGAAGGCTTAAAATGCCCTAATATAATTTATTTTGAGCTAGATTTTAATTTTATTATGTAATCCTTGCTTAAAATTGAAGATAATAGTTGAATCAGGTAACATTATGAAGCATTCTATTGATCACTTGGGGACATTTATGATATTCTTAAATGTTGCACAAAAGTTGTTTCGGCACAAGTGCAGTACAAAATCATTGTACAAAGTTTGTTATGCCCCGCCATGAAGATGGCCGGGGCATATAGTGTTTATCACGTCTGCTTTCTGTCCTTCCGTCACACTTTGTGTTTAGCTCTGTTCAAAGCTAAGTTTCAAAGAAACTATCCAAGATATTTTCATCAAACTTCATATGCTGACAGATATTGATGAGAGCTATGCAACTGCATCAACATTTTTTTACCTTGGCATGTCTGATGACCTTGACCTCACTTTTCTTAGATTAGTATTTAGCTCAGTTTTAAACATACCATTCAAGATGGTGTTATCAAACTGCACATGTTGATACAAACTTGCACAGATGATGCATCTAGGGATGAACACTACCAGACTTGCTTGGATGCTGGATCTGACCTACATTTTCCAGATGAGTGACCAGGTTAAAGTTTTTGGAGCAGGTCCATTTCCAAGGAACTATAAACCCATCTTGGACCAAACTTGCAATAAAGAAAAAAGAGCTGCAGATGCAAAAGTATATACACTATGGAACGACTCATCAGGCTCAAGTGTTTCAATAGCATAAACAGCTTCAAAACCTTGAAAACCCCAAATATTGTTAAAATTTTGTTAAAAATTAAATTCTGTTAAGAGGGCTAAAAAGCAACTTCCGGAAATGGAAAGAAATTCTTTCAACCGTAAAATAACTGATTTGGCAAAGTAAAAGATTAGGGTGTTGCGTTTTATTGACAGTGAGTATAGTAGAGCAGTCTTTAAAAACACTTTTCCAAAAACAGCAAAGCCATATCGGTCATATATGAAAGAAGCTACTAGTAATATAGATTTATTTTTAGCTCACCTGAGCTGAAGATTCAAGTGAGCTTTTCTGATCACATTTTGTCCGGCTTCCATCTGTCTGCACACTTTTCACATTTTCCGCGGCTTTTATTTTATGTTTTTAATTTTTTAAATTTTGCAGATTTTTTATTGACCTGGTCAATCGGTGTAATTTTATCTACAATACCCGAATAAAAGTCACAGTAAGGGTTCAATTATCTCTTACTTCACATCATCACCAATCTTTTTCAACCAATGACACATGTTTAAAATATATACGCATGTATTATCGCAATTACCATCTTTTCAGCTGTCAATATCATGTTGACTTTCGCGGGATTTAAAACGAAAGTAGAATGGTAGATGTATACCGATCCAGATCAGAATTAAGATGAAGAAAAAGAGAAATAAAAAAATCGAGGCGGGGGTATAAAATCTGGGCGGGCGGGGATGAGAATCTAGGAATATTTTTATTATGGCCTTAGGGAAAATTTAGTGGCATTTTTAAAAAAAAATCTTCTCAAGAATCAATTGGCCAGGAAAGATGAAACTCATGTGGAATCATCCTCAGGTAGTGTAGATTCAAGTTTGTTCGAATCATGACCCCCCGGGGGTAGGATGGGGCAAAAATGGCAGATCAAAGTTTTACAAAGGAATATATAGGAAAAATCTTCTCAAGAACCACTGTGCCAGGAAAGATGAAACTCCTCTGGAATTATCCCCAGGTAGTGTAGATTCAAGTTTGTTCAGATCATGACCCCCGGAGGTATGATGGGGCCAAATGTCCTATAAAAGTTTTACATAGGAATATATAGGGAAACCTTTTAAAATCTTCTTTTCAAGTATTTCAAAGCCATGCTTAGTGATATTTATAGGGAATCATCCTCAGGTAGTGTAGATTCTAGTTTGTTCAAATCATGAACCCCTGGGGGAATCATCCTCAGGTAGTGTAGATTCTAGTTTGTTCAAATCATGAACCCCTGGGGGGTTAAAATTCAAGCCCCCCCCCCCCCCCCCAGCAAACTTCCAGTTCTGATCTGATATGAGCTTTTTCCTAGCCAATTGCTGAGGTGAGCGATGTGACCACTTGGGCCTCTTGTTTTTAGTTCTACTGGTCAGAGACCAGAAAAGCTTATGTGATTTCAGGGTATCCGTCGTCTGTCCGTCTAGCTGTCTGTCCGTCTGTGTTTTCAAAATGCTAGTCCTCCTACAGTTTTTGTCTGATTTCAATATAACTTGGCACACAAGTAGACTACACTAATATAAATAAACTAGTCCATCGGTTCTAAAAATAGAAATTTCTATGAAATAACTTTAAAACGCTACCCCTTCTACTGTTTGGTCTCATTTCAATATTACTTGGCACACACTAGTAAACCACACTAAGATAAATAAACTAGTGCATCAGTTTTTGATTTCACTGAACAAACATGTTGCCATGGTTACTAAAAATAGGAATTTCTATGAAATTCCTTTAAAACGCTACCCCTCCTACAGTTTTTGTCTGATTTCAACAAAACTTGACACACAAGTAGATTACACTAAGATAAATAAACTAGTGCATCATTTTTGATTTTGCTAAACGATGTTGTCATGGTTGCTAACAATAGAAATTTCTGTGAAATTCCTTTAAAAGGCTACTTCTACAGTTTTGGTCTGATTTCAATATAACTTGGCACACAAGTTCAAGAAGACTACACTAAGATAAATAAACTAGTGTATCGGTTTTTACCTCACCTGAGCCGAAGGCTCAAGTGAGCTTTTCTGATCTCATTTTGTCCGTCGTCTGTCCGTCCATCCGTCTGTCTGTCTGTCTGTCCTTCTGTAAACTTTTACATTTTCGACTTCTCATGAACGCCTTGGCCAATTTTGACCAAACTTCGTACAAAGCATCTTTGGGTAAAGGGGAATTTAAATTGTAAAAATAAAGGACCAAGTCCCCTCACAAGGGGAGATAATCAAGAAAAGACAAAAATATGGTGGGGTCATTAAAAAATCTTCCTCTCAAGAACCACTGGACCAGAAAAGCTGAAATTAATATGGAAGCATCCTGGGGTAGTGTAGATTCAAAGTGTCTTAATTATGATCAGTGGGGTAGGGTGGGGATGTTTTATGTATTACAAGGGGGAAATCTGGTAAAGAACAGAATGGTCAAAGCTTCTCAGGAGAGCGATGTGGCCCATAGGCCTCTTGTTGATTTTACTGAACTGTGTTTCCAGGGTTACAAAAAATAGAAATTTCTGTATAACGCTACTCCTCCTATTGTTTTGGTCTAATTTCAATGTAACTTTGCACACAAGTAGATTACACTAAGATACAGAACTAATGCATCGGTTTTTGATTTCGATGAACAGTGTTACCTTGATTACTGAATTAAATAAAATTTATGTTAAATAATTTCAAATGCTACTTTTCTCTTTCTTTGTTATAAGTACAAACCAGTAGAGGTACAGTTTCGACAGAGGCTTCTGGTTCAGTTAAAAAAAATAGCAATGTTTATATTACAGGTAATGTTAATTTTGTACTAAAATCAAAATATTTGGAAAAGGTGTACTGTCGCACAAATGATTGCATGAAATTAAAAAGCTGCGCAAAGTCACACACACTCAAATAAGACTTGGCCTTGTTATTTAAGAAGATTTTTTCATGAGAATGAAAAGGCATTTTTAAAGAGGCAAGTCAATAGATTCAGGTGAGTGTTCTGGCCTTGGGCCTCATGTTATGTTTTAATGTATGTCTTTATTTACTTTTTCAGGAGATCGAGAAGTATTTTGAGGAGTTCTGGGAGGCAGTACCAGCTGAGGACAAAGACTGGTTAAAAGAATCTCTCAAAGACCGTATATATACAGTGGGTCTAGTTAAACTAAATGACAACACAAAAAGAAATCTGGATTCAATGACAAAATCCATAGTTGAACTATTTACAAATGAGAACAATACAAAAATTGAATTGCCTTCTTCATGGGCTTTAATGGAGCAGTTATTATATGAAGGAGCCTGGAAGGTTTTGCCCTTGAGTGAAATTTGGAAGCTTAATACATCCCTTCCCCATGAATACCAAATTAAAAGTGATGAGGAAATGTCTATGTTCTTAAAATGTTTCCATGACAATGGCCTTCTTTTATATTATGATGAAGAGAAATTGAGGGAGCATACAGTACTTGACATTCAGTGGTTTGCTAAAGCTTTTAGCAAGATTATTGCTGATAAAAACCATATTAATGAAGACTGCAAAACGAGATTAATAACAGAATGGAAATCCTTTAACAAAACAGGGGAACTGAAAGAAAAAGTCATAGATGCACTTTGGAAAGACGAACCTTCGTATCTGGAACACAAAAGAGAAATTATGTCGTACATGGAGAAGCTTCAAATGCTGGTACCTTTGGAGTCTTTTGAGGCTGTATCAGAAGGCAACATGTCATGGTATGTGCCATGTATGAACAAAAAGCAGTTTAAAGCGGACTTTTGTGAAGATAAATGGGAATGCTCCTCCATTTTATGCTTTCGGTTCACTTCTTTTGCCATGTTTGTGTTTTACAGACTGGTAGCATACTGCATGAGTTTTCTAAGATGGAGTGTTTCAAAAGACGAAGACAATGACGGAAGTCTATGTCTTTATCAAACTGCAGCTGTGTTTGATCACAATGACCACACGGTGGTTGTTGGTATATGTAATGATGATATCCAGTTGCAAGTATTGAGAATCACACCACTGGCTATAGACAAAGACGTTTCAAATGAAATTGGAGAATCCATTGAAAAAGCCATTCAAAAACTGACAGAAACATTTATCGGCACAAAAATATTCCGCAAAGGATTCAAATGTCAAAACATTATTTGTGATGAGAAAGATTTGTCCCTCACCCTATCTAGTGAGCTCTCCAATATCAAATCAGAAGAAATTCAGTGCAAGTGTAGACTTCAGGAGAAACATGTGATAAATGTACAAAAGACTCTGAGTTTCTGGGAAAAGGTGACTATCATTTATCAATTCAGTTTACTATAACCCCAAGTGAAATTTGACAAGTCATCTTGTTTGTCTATCATCCAAATCCTACAATTTTATCCAGATAATAGCTTTGTATTGGAAACACACATTTGATCACAGCTTATTCATTTTCATGATCTAGAACTGTTGAAATCCATTTCACCTGATTTAAGTTGATTTCAATTTGATGAAAATGTGTAATGTGGAATCCCTTTAAAGTCAAGATCGTGTAAATGACCAGACTGATTTTGTGGTGCTAGATCTATAATGAAGCTAAAATTATAAAGCATCATTAAAGAAATTTATTACTTAAATTTGATAAATCTGTAGGCATCTTTCATTCACTAGATCTTGACATTAAGCTAAAAATCAGCATCATGACAGCATTAAATTTATTCTTATTGAAAAAAAAAATATTTTGCAGACTTAATCTCTTTCAAAAAATGCAAGAAATTTTTATTTTTGATATTATATACTTTCCTGTGTATTTGCTTTCTTAACTTGCCAACTTTGTTCAATAAAGATTAACTTTATTTCAGACGAAAATGAGTGTTTCTAAATCTCCAGTGGCCTCTGGTGGACATGACCTTGAGGGACGATCTAGATTTGCAAAACTTGGAATGGCAACCAATGATGTATTAAACCAGGCATACAGAGATATACTAGAGATGGAAGTGCCTCCATCTGATATTGAAAAGAAAGCTAAAGCATCACCAGTTTACAAAAGATTCCGTCCAGAGCAAGAACAACTCTTGCTAGATGCTAAGCTTCTAGGATATAAGAACTTTGACATTTCTTTAACATACACATTAATCCGAAATATATGTTCAAAGATCCCAAAACCAACAAAAGGAAAATGGGGAGAAGAGCCAGCAGCAGGAGAAGAAACAGTGGGTGATGATGTCGAGAGAATTAGATCTATCCGAAACGGTTTGACTGCACATGTGAGTTCAGCCTTCACCCCTCAGACTGAATTCAATAATACATGGATGACGATGACCAACATTTGTCAAAGGTTGGAAACCTACACTGGAAAGAAATACTTGGATAACCTGAATAGTATTCATAAATTGACTTTAAATGATGAAGATGCTATTTTAGCTATTATAGAAAAAGTCAACAAGGAACAGCACGATATATTGAAGAAAGTCATGTCAAATATGCAAAAATTAATGTCAGATATGCGAGAAGTAAAGTCAGATGTGAAAATTTTAAAGCAAAATTGATGCCGAATCGCTATTCAGTCCATGACAAGTAAAGAGTTTTATGCATCGAACATCTGTAGAGTGTCAAACTTTAAAAATGAAAACCAGCCTTTACCAATTCTGAAACAATATTGATATCATGAATTTTTTTTATGAAAAATCAAAAATTCAGAAAGCAACTGAGACCTTGTAAGAGGAGGTGTGAAGTCATTCAAAAATACATGCTTATAAGGATAATTGATTCATAACCCTCCAATCATTATCCAGTAAATGTACTGTACTTTTTTGATTAATATTCTATGTATCATGTTTTAATAGTCTCTCATGTATAGAAAGCCTTCAGAATCAGACACCAGCTATTATACAGTATTTTCAGTATTATGTAGACTTACTTCCCTTCTGTCTTTCAATGGCGCAGTTGAATGGCTCCAATTTTTAAAATTGATGATTAAATTTGTTCTGGATGTTGAACTGTTTGATAACGGTGGACAACGACTGACTTACCATAAAAACATTCAACCGGGATAACAATAATCATGGAATATGGTGCTCAAAAATTGAAAATATATATAATGTAAACGATAGCGGTACAGATGTGTGCTAAGGCCAATCCAATCCATTAGACCGTACCGATATTACAGTTACGGCCAGCGGCATTCCACTTTCAGGAGGCGAGGACCCCTTGCTCAAAGCAAAGGATCTTATTCATTCACTAGGAGAGGTGGTCTCCTCAAACGTACAAGTGATAGCGGCAACGCAAATCCCAAGCAGATTAAATAATCGGCTTTGTCTCATTAAATTTTGCTTCAGGAATAAAGATGAGAAAATACTGGTTCTGTGAAACAAAATGAAACTGAATGAGATTTACGAGTCAAATCCGCTGAAATATCAGGCTAGCTTTTTAAATACACATACAGTATATAGATAATTCATGTTGTTGGGTGTAACATTGAAAAATTTCACCCCTGCAAAACCACTGTTAACCGAGGTGTTTGAGGGGTTAAATGTTTCATAGTTCATCGTTATTCTCTGCTACATACGATGTTTTTGTATATTATACTTACAAATGAATTAGTTGAATATGATTGGTCAATATACATTTGCTAAAACACTTTTACCAGCTGAATAATGAAGCCACGCTATCCGGTGTAGCAACAGTCAACATTGTTTGACGAAGGTTGATATTCCAAAAAATACCTACTGCGCAGAATTAATGCGCGCACGATTCACTGTTATATGTATTTGTATAAAATATTTCGTATACCTTAATTAATAATGCATATAGTTGAGTGTAACATTGAAAATTTTCACCCCTTGAAAACCATTGTCAACCTTGTTTGGAGACATTCAAATAAAATTTTCAAGAATTAAAAAAACAATAATAAATTCTAATGAAAGTGCTACGAATAAGCAGCTAGTAGAATTTGGTGTAGAATATTAAAGAATTGCATGTATTACCTATTTTATAAAATGGAAAGTGCAAGAGAGTTTGTTTAAACGGTTGTGTATCCTACTATCTGTACCTATTTTAGAATGTATGGTTAGTTCAAACGCGTGCAGGTATCGAACGAGAAGGTTATATTCTCATTCACGATTGAAAGTTCTTTAAAAAAGTTAAATATTAAAAAACAAAGAATGAGTGCACTTAAGCTATGAGAGTTGGATCCCGATGTTTTGCGCAAAATAAAATTACAAAATTCATTAAATTTATGTTTTATAGGTATTAGAAAATGTCTTAAAAGCAGGTTTTGGTATATTATATTACATGAAAGTATTAAATAATGCCGAACGACACTAGCTTTTGAGACGAGGGTCGAACAGTTTTGTCTCATTTCTATTGTTATTCATATGCATACCAGTTTTCAACGACTTTGTTTACTTCGAGCCGCAACTTGGCCATTTTTCTTATTTGCACAGAATATGTATTTTAACTTAAACTTATACATATCCAAAGGACAATGTTGGCCAAGTTGCGGCTCATATCTAATTTTAAAAAAAATGTCCCCAAACTAGGGTCGAAATAGCCACTAAATCAACCGGTCACTGAGCAACAACGATTGATATTATAATCACCTTTCTCATGTGACCTTCTGCTGTTCGATACGCTAGCTTACGCTTTCATTGAAAATTTCATTGTGTTTAAGTCTCTGTTGTGACATTATCTATCGTACTTCCAACTTAAAAATATGGGAGATTTTTGCGCAAATTTTAATAGGGTTTGAAGATAATATGTCTCTTATCTTTATGCTTTTCATTAGGGGTGTTTTGAAATAATTCTGGTATTGACAGTTTCATTAGTAAGTACATGTACATGTTTAGGCTTATGTCGCCTCTGTATTATGGTCTGCACAGCGAGACATTTACCCCATTCCTTAACATTAGAATCATTTAATAATTGTGCACCATGAAATCAACACGATCTCTTTCTCTCTTTTCCATTTCAATTCGCAATGCGAAAAAATCATATGTGCTAATGTTTACATTCCACAACCATGCGGTTTAAATGTCTCCGCCTACTTGCGGATAACTTAGATTCGAAAGTGGTCCTGTTCAAATTTCCGGAATTTAAGGCTTTTACATGTTTTTTTTCAATTACATTTTCTGTAAGTATAGAAATATGTATGACAAAAAATTCGAGAAATAAATATCAATAGCATATGCTTGCACATTAATCATAGATTAATTTTGCGATATATTGTAATGTTAAGCTTAAAATGGGTAGCCGAATAGGTTCCAAATGACGTACTTAAGTGCACTCATTCTTTGCGATCCTACTTTGGTTGTTTACTTTGTTTTGCTTCTGTTTTGAATTTTTTATATCCAGATGGATCAATATATTAACAAAATATTTATATTACACTAAAATATATAAATATATTCGTATATAAAATGTTTCTACTTTGCAACGCGGGCTTAAAAGTAATAATAGACAGAGTAATTTTGTTAATCTATATGTATATTAATCAACAGTCAAACCAATATTGCGTTTTATACCCTTGTAAGACGTTCGTCTTCTTAAATTCGGACGTACAGGAATCACTAAATCAGTCTAATTGCCTATATGTGCATTTAAATATCACAGATCATCATGTACTTATTAATTAGAGCCCCGCTTGGCGGGCGCCCTATAGTGATCAGTCTGTCCATCCGTCTGTCCGTCCGTCCGGCTGTCCGTCCGTCCGTCCGAGATCTCTTGTCCGGAGCATATCTTCTCTCTCCTTAGCCCAATCTGGCTCATACTTCACCCACAGAGTGCCTTTGGATAACCAGTATGCAGTGACCTTGAACCAGGTTTCTAGGTCCAATTTCAAGGTCATAGCAGGATTATGTGAAAAATCCTTGTCCGGAGCATATCTTCTCTCTCCTTTGCCCAATCTGGCTCATACTTCACCCACAGAGTGCCTTTGGGTAACCAGTGTGCAGTGACCTTGAACCATGTTTCTAGGTCAAAGGTCAAGGTCATAGCAGGATTATATGAAAAATCCTTGTCCGGAGCATATCTTCTCTCTCCTTTGCCCAATCTGGCTCATACTTCACCCACAGAGTGCCTTTGGGTAACCGGTGTGCAGTGACCTTGAACCAGGTTTCTAGGTCAAAGGTCAAGGTCATAGCAGGATTATGTGAAAAATCCTTGTCAGGAGCATATCTTCTCTCTCCTTTGCCCAATCTGGCTCATACTTCACCCACAGAGTGCCTTTGGGTAACCAGTGTGCAGTGACCTTGAACCAGGTTTCTAGGTCAAAGGTCAAGGTCATAGCAGGATTATGTGAAAAATCCTTGTCCGGAGCATATCTTCTCTCTCCCTGGCCCAATCTGGCTCATACTTCACCCACAGAGTGCCTTTGGGTAACCGTCGTGCAGTGTCCTTGAACCAGGTTTCTAGGTCAATGGTCAAGGTAATAGCTGAATTATATGAAAAATCCTTGTTCGGAGCATATCTTCTCTCTCCTTTGCCCAATCTGGCTCATACTTCACCCACAGAGTGCCTTTGAGTAACCGGTGTGCAGTGACCTTGAACCAGATTTCTAGGTCAAAGGTCAAGGTCATAGAATTATATGAAAAATCCTAGTCTGGAGTATATCTTCTCTCTCGTTGGCCCAATCTGGCTATTACCACACTCATAGAGATCCACTGGTTAGTGGATGTGCAGTGACCTTGGTCGAAGTTTCTAGGTCATGGTCAAAATTACCCGTTCTGTTAAAAATCTTTCTTTGGTGCATAATTCTTTGCCTTTAATTCCAGTAAATTTATATAACTCGGGATACAAGATAACTTCGTTAAATATAGTAAATTTGCAGTATCCATGAAGTCATACTAAATGACTTTTACTGTATAACACAAATGTTCCTCTTCAAAATAATCCCTTTTAAACGACCTTACATTTTCATGTTCATTGTTGAATGCGGGGCCCTTTGAGATGGCCACCATCTCAATGATATCTAGTTAAACTTTAGGTGAACGAACGCTCGGAAAAATTGAAATTCACTGTAGTTGCATTATGTATGTTCAAAATCGTTTATATTTAGGCATTTGTTGCATAGGCACTTGGGGTATGGACCCCCCTTTTCCTTTTTTTTTCTTTTTAAATCTGGGTTCGAATCACCTTTTTCCTATTTTTCTATTCTAATATGCACTATATGTTATCAAAAATGCAACTCTTTTGTCTCTACAAGCTGTTTTTAAAAATGCCGTTTTTCACTGATACATATAAAGAGAGAAGGCTTGCAACTCTTTCTAGTCATCCGCCTCACCACGCTCAAACTTCGCTCGATTATCTATCTAAATCAGAATAAAACATGGGATATGCATACATCAATAAATTTGTTATACATTCCTCTTCCTTTTCATATTTCCAGTTAATTTTTATATGCCCCCGATTTGTAAATATTTCGATGAAATCACCCGCATCTAGGGTAAATGCATCAACCGGGACGGAAGTACCAAAGAACGATAACTCTATTTTACAAATGTTCTGCATTACAAAAAATCCAGGATTTGTAATAACAATATTATTACATTTGGTTGATTATATCGTGTGTTAAAAGTGAATCTGTATCTATCAGAATCTACTAGTTACAGCTTTCTAGTTATATATCGAACTTACCTTTACATTGTTACATGAAGAGAAAATTCGGGATTAAATCCCTCTAGAATTTAATGTTCCGAATAACATTACACATTTAGATGACGCCCCAAAATACCGGGTACTTCCGTCCCGGTTGATGCACATAGACAAAATTTACCCTAATTTCATCGAAATATTTACAAATCGGGGGCATATAAAAATTAACTGGAAATATGAAAAGGAAGAGGAATGTATAACAAATTTATTGATGTATGCATATCCCATGTTTTATTCTGATTTAGATAGATAATCGAGCGAAGTTTGAGCGTGGTGAGGCGGATGACTAGAAAGAGTTGCAAGCCTTCTCTCTTTATATGTATCAGTGAAAAACGGCATTTTTAAAAACAGCTTGTAGAGACAAAAGAGTTGCATTTTTGATAACATATAGTGCATATTAGAATAGAAAAATAGGAAAAAGGTGATTCGAACCCAGATTTAAAAAGAAAAAAAAGGAAAAGGGGGGTCCATACCCCAAGTGCCTATGATTTGTTGTCCCGTAAGTATTTCCGAATTAATTGATTTTATTTCTACCTTCTGTAAAAATTGTGTAAATTCTTTAAACTTCATGGCCTCTTATTTTAGATTAATAATGTGTCCGTATTGATATATATTGTCCGTTGTCTGTCGTTGTTGTTGTCGTAAACATTTTCATCTTCTTGTCAAGAACCAATGGGCCAATTTCAATCAAACTTGCTACGGAGTATACTTGGGTACAGGGGATTCAAATTTGTTCAAATGAAGGGCCATGCTCTCTTCCAAGGAAAGATGATTATGAATTAGTGAAAATTTAATGGAATTTTTAAAAATTCTTCCTCTCAAGAACCACTGGGCCAGGAAATATGAAACTCATGTGAAATCATCTTCAGGTAGTGAAGATAAAAATTTGTTCAAATCATGACCCCCGGGGTAGGGTGGGCTACAATGGCCGATATAAGTTTTGCTTTGGAGTATATAGGAAAAATCTTTAAAGAACCATTGGGCATGGAAAGATGAAACTCATGTGTAATCATCTTCAGGTGCAGATTAAGGTTTGTTCAAATCATGACCCCAGGGGGTAGGTTGGGGCAACAATGGCTGATCAACGTTTCGCATAGGAGTATATATGAAATATCTCTTAAAAATCTTCTCAAGAACCACAGGGCCAGGAAAGATGAAAATCATGTGTAATCATCTTCAGGTAGTGTAGATTCAAATTTGTTTAAATCATGACCCCCGGGGGTAGGGTGTGGCTACATTATGGCCGATCAATGTTTTACTTAGGAGTATATAGGAAAAATCTTTTAAAATCCCAAAATGGAAAAGAAATTTAACAAAATACTTGCAAAATATCTTCA